GTTATATGCATATATGTAATAATTCTGCTCCTGAGGAGAGCCACCTCCCCAGCTGCTGTAACTCAGCTTAGCACCAGTGATATTTAAGGGGCGATGCTGATTGACAAGTTGGGGCTCTGGCCCTTCATTCTCTTACCACGGTGGGATCTTTCTTGGGTTTGTTTTAAATTTTTCTCCTTTGCTCTTAAGTAAATGGAAAATGTTCACTGAAATGGAGGTTAATCCCACGGGATTGCTCCGTCAATTGGTTGTGTGGGCGGGTAGCCAATAGTTTCATCTCCATGTGAACTATCAATTCTTCCTTTTTTCCAGCTGACAGCACCTGCAAGAGATTATATGCCTGATGTCACTCTTCCACTTAGTATATAATCACACAATGGTCATTAGTTCCAGCAATGCAATGGCTTGTTTCCTGCTTCGATTTGCTTCTGCACCTTCTGAAGCGTTGGTGACACCTAATTGGAGCCTAGCCTCTCTTTATACATCCTTAGATTGTTGGGTATTTTTTTCCCTGCATGGATGGAGGTAACAGGCTATTAGCAAACACAAATTGAGCCCACTTCCTCCTGCCTTGTGGGAAAAAGGATTCCACAATATGCATTGTGTTAATTTTGCATCATTTCTGGTTTATTTTTCAAGGTTACATTGATGGCTGCTGAGGGCCAATGAATGTGAAAGTCAGAAATAACTCAAAGAAAGCTGCATGTAGCTTGGAACTACTCCGAGAATAAACACAGTTTTGAGGGGAGGAGCATTTCCTCCTTCTGCCTTCCCAAATTCCATCTCCATGAGATGTATCTGTCATCTTGGTACCTGTGCAGTCCAGCAATGGAAGAGATTACTATAATTAAAATGCAAAAAGCACAGCAATATGACTATCGCCGGAAACTTTGCACTTCACCATGAGCTTCTCAAGGGCTATGTCTATACTGCATCATTTTTGCGGAAGAGGAAATGCAAATGAAGCACTCATTAGCATTTATCGTGCTCTCATTTGTATAGTCTCTT